ACCCGCGGAAATTCAAAATTCGCGATACTTTTTGAACAAACCTCGTACTTACACTATATTTTCACATTTATTGCTATACCATCCGCGTGAGCTGCGTAGCCGCTAGCTGCTTGTCCGCTCGACACACATTCTACTCGTACTTTCTCATAATAAAAGATGATGATTACTATAGATATGTAAGATATGTAAGCATAAAACATTTTAATATAAAATAACAGTAATAATATGAATTATTTAGCATACAATAGTAGACATGTATTTCTTAATTTTTTTGTTTATTATGAAAATATACATATAATTTTTGATCAGTCAGTGACTTTGATAAGAAATGGCATTCAAATCGTACGTTTGATATTTGTTTGATTATTTGTGATATTCGCTATTCTTTAAGAAAAGTTAAGATTTATTAAAAAAGGACAGGTCTACAATAGGCAGTAGATTCATACGAAGTAAGAATAAGAAAATGACCAATTATATTCGAATGTAAGGAGAATAATTGACTATGATTTGTTAATTTCTTACTTTTATTTCTTATAAACGTTCTCCTACTGCCTATTGCAGACCACGTTTACAAGTGTAGTAAGTCTTAAGCGTAAAAAATTGACTAATCACATTCGATTATTTATCTATAATTCTATTGTAATTAGTCAATGTTTTACGTTTAAAGCTTACTACATCTATTGTAGACTCAGCCTAAGACTTGAGCAGAGAGGAAATTGACCAACCAATCAGTATATTTCTTTAGATTTATTCTAAAAGATAATAGAAATGACGATAAATTTAGCCTTAAACAGAAGTAACTAAGATTCCAACTGTTTGAGATTTAGTTATTTCTGCTTAAGACCAAATTTACTATCGTCTTTTGGAATTCGTAAACTTAAAGCGGGGCTTACAATCAGAATTTGAGCTCTAAGCTTTAAGAAATTGACCAATTACAGTTGATTATTTTCCTCACATTCGTCTATGATTGGTCAATTTCTTAAGGTTTAAAGCTTACATTTCCATTGTAGATCTCGCTTATGTCTCAGTCTACAATAGATGCTTTAAGCTCTAAGCCCTAAGCTTCAATCAAACTATGGACTGAAGATTTAGATAGAATTGAAATTTGACCAATCAGTGTAGAATTCACTAAATTTCACTAAACCTGAATTCAGTTAACTTTACACTGATTAGTTAAATTCAATTCAATCTCAATCCACAATCCGTAGTCTGACGCGGGTTTTAAGAAATTGACTAATCACAGTCGACTTATATAGTCGAAGAATCAATTATGATTAGACAGTTTCTTAAATCTTACGCCATAAATTGTCATTGTAAACCCCGCTTAAGTCGTAGTTTACAATAGATATTTTAAGCTTTAAGCCTAAGAAATAGACTAATCACAGTTAATTATTTATTCTTTTCACATTCAACTGTGATTGGTCAATTTCTTAAGGTTTAAAACTTAAAGCACCTATTGTAAATCGAAACTAAAGAAATATATTGATTAGTTGATCAACTTCCTTATTGCTTAAATCGCGTTCGAGAATCCACACAGTGTGTACATCACTAGGCACCAGCTGTTCTAAAACATTCAGGCTATATTCGTAACTGAAGTCACGAAAGCGTACCAAAGAGTGATGTTTTCGAATATAGCCTGAATGTTTCAGAACAGTTGGTGTCCAGTGGTGTGCACGCAGTGTGGATTCTCGAACGCAATTTTACTGTATTCATGTCCACGTTCGTCCGAACGTTTAATTTGCAACTGTTGAAAGTTTTTTGAACTGAGATTGGATTATTCTTTTAGATCTACAGGAATAATCCAATGCCAGCACAAGAAACTTCTAACAATTGCATATTAAACATTCTGCTGAACGCGGCCTATGTGTGAAAACGTTTATAGCGCGTAAATGCCCAAATCTTACCGTGTCACTCTTTATCGCCCGTGTCGCCTCTGTCTCTTCTTGGAAAGCACCAAAAAGCAAAGTTACACATTCATTCAAGACGATTTATCTAGGATATAAAAATCTTACAAGATATTACAATATTCTAAATTTGTAATCATTTATATATTTAAAAAATAACCTTTATTTATACATTTATAATATAAGACATTATATATACATAGTATGTCATTGAAATGGAATATTTCTCTGTCAAAGAAAATGATTGTTCATCACAAAAATCATCACGAAAAATTGGTTTATTTTTAATTGCAGCTACAGGTTTGTTATTTCGTATTAATGGTTGCGTTCCGAAAACACCACGGTTGAGTAATTCTACATAATTGGTGTAAATTTAGAGATCTAACAATAAAGACCACTGACTGTTTATGCTTTCTAAACGCAGCCAATGATCTTGTGATAATTTGTATGTTAATTATATGTATATCATGCCTGTTACTACTTGCTATAGGTGGAATTGCAACAGCAATTAGTGTTGTGTGTTTTCCATTTATAAGTCCAGCATTTCGGAAAATATGTTTACCATATGTACCAGCTACACATCAACAGATAAAAAATATTACCAAAGCATTAAATGGCCGTTCTGGTTCCTTAATTGATCTTGGTAGCGGAGATGGACGTATTGTAAGTATAATTTAAAAATGATGAAACGAATAAAATTATATATAACATACTACTAATGTAACAAAGAAAATAATTTTAATTTTTAAATAGGTTCTTACAGCAGCAAAGCTTGGCTTTAAAGCTCATGGCATTGAATTAAATGCTTGGCTGGTATGGTATTCGAGATTGAAAGCATTCATAAATGGTTTGTCACAAAATACTGCTTTTTTTAAACAAGATTTATGGAAATATAATCTGAAAGAATACAACAATATTATTATATTTGGTGTAGATCAAATGGTACATATATCTTTCAGTATTTATTATAACTTTTGCAATCTCTAAAACAGATACAAAGATTATAACACCTTTACAGATGGAAGATATTGAAAGAAAGTTTAATAATGAATTAAACAAGGATTCTTTTGTAATTGCATGTAGATTTCCTCTTCCTAATACGCATCCTATTATGACAATTGGACATGGAGTTGATACTGTTTGGGTTTATAGAGTACCTCCGAAACAAATTTGAAGTAACAAATATATTTCCAAGTTGGACTCTAGAAAAGGTTAAGTTATTTACGAGATATATTTAATACTATATATTTATTAAAATATAAGATATATGGAGTATTTATAAAATCATTATNAATATTCTTTTATATATATAAACTAATTTATACACATAATTTTACTTATTTTTTCCTAAATTTAATATGCTTTGGATGCGTACAAAATTTTCCTACAAATAAATGATTCATATGAATTGTTTTACATTTTGCACTTGATATTTTTGTATAAAGCTATTTTCAATAAAATTCTGAAACGCAACAAATACATATAGTTGAGTTTTAAATATAAAAAAATTAATTATATATAATTATGCAAATATACAATACAGTCCCTGGCCATATTACTAAACGCATCTTAATTTTTACATTTCATTGACTTCTGAGGACCAGCTTTATAATATGATCATTTATTGATCAAATTAAGAAACCATTATTCTATAAAGGATATTTTTTATAACGTCATTTCATTTGGCTGTTACAATGATCTTCAACAAGTGTAAACTTGCGTCAATTACATTGTTGATAATAACGAGAATAGACCTAAGTTTTGAGTGCGTCAATTGAAATTTAGTTTTATTTTTGTTTATTTGTGACTTGAAACTGCAAATTCCTTGCTTACTAATGAAATTCTTGTGTAAAAAATATTAATATTTACAAAGATTATGGATAAAACAAGTGATTTGACACTTCAGAAGGTTGCAGAGGTAAAAGCGCTATTTGACACTGAAAATTATTCCAATCGAGTAAAAATAAAATCAGTAGCTTTTCTTTTCCTAATTTGCATTCTCTTGAAGAATCAAGGGATGTCTAAATATGACCAGGGACTGTACATCTTAATTATTTAATCATTTATCTGTAATAAAGAATTGAGCAACAAGATTAAAAATTCCAATAACAGGTATGCTTAAATGGATTAATAGAGTGCACACAGTTAATTTTCCTTGTCTCTTCAAAATCGACAAATGTAATAAACTTGGTAAAGTAAAAACGTAAATCAATCCACTTAAAGCGCCATTATATCGAGTGATGGTTCCAACATATGGCACAAACGTGGCAAACAAAATACATATAGAAACCAGTAAAAGATTAATAAGAAGCACTAAACTCCTATTACATACTGTTTTACATATCGATGAGATCAATTGTATACGTAACATGTATGCGATCAATGGATAAATAGTCAATAATTGGAAAAGTAGTACTATACGAACGCCTATGGTAAGACCGTCCCATTTTTGAAAATTGTTCAATAAATTCTGCAAAATATAAAACGAACTCAGTTTAAAAGCGTCTTCTATAGCAATACATATATGTATATATTTCTTGTATAATGTTTATGTAAATTCTATATTACTTACATCTTCTATGCATGATTTAGGTAGAGGAAAGCAAATGTAGAACACCAATCCTAATATAATATACGTTACTGTGACGAGAATATATGCTATAATTAAATCCCTCCCCTAAAAATAAAATCATTTCCACTTAATTTGCATGAATATTTAATTAAAAAAATGGAACTTAAAGGTATCTTACGTTATTTTTTTGATTGCGATTATTTTTCACTATACTGATTATAATATTGTGGATGAAGAATGACATCGACAACATTCCCGTAAGGGCCGGAAACGTAGGTCGTATTATCCAACTTGTTTCCCACTCTATTCCCCTCATATTTACGCCCCAAGATGTGGATTTTATTATGACGAAAGCAATCAAATATACAACTGACACTGTTCCTACAAGATATATATTAAAGATTTAACTCGATATAATTTGTAAATTTTAGTCGAAAATCTGAATTTTGTATTAAAAAGAAAGAAAGCAAGAAGTAAATATATACATAAATAATATACTCACCAAGAGAATTAAACTTTGTAAAAAATGTCGTACTGTTAAAATTCAGTAAAGGAAATATCAATAGCCCTAAAAATACAGGCACTGTCGCATGTAGATCCCACGCTGGTCCTAGTGCGTCGAATGTTTTCTCGTAGATTATAATAGTATCGTTATCACTGTGGACTTCTTTCTTCGGGCATAGAACTATAATTGAATTGAACAAAATTGGACAATACACATGAGAGATTCTTGAGTAAAAATGTATACACACCTTCCGTATGCGAAATATTCTCAGGTACGGAATATTTTGACCAACCAGCTATGTTATCTACAAACAATATACTTTACTATGCACGTTTTTATCTTTACTTGAAAATCAGGTTCCTTACCATAAATAAAATTAACGCTATTATACAGGAAATTAGCCATCAATATCCAGTAAGCTATAGTTGCACCCATCAATACGGTAATACTAAAGATTCTGGCGATATATTCGGCCCATTTGTTAAGATATATTCGGCTTAAATCTATGATTTCTATATTTTCACCTCCACCTTCGTGAACATGTAACGAGACAATTAATTTTACAATATTACATATATTGATTTGTCACGCAGGAAAAAATTCCTCTCACCGTGATACTCGTATGCGGCTATAAGACGATAAGCAGTATACAGGCACAAGCCGCTCATCATGAAAATAATGATGATTCCAGGAAAGAAACCGGCCATTGCGATTCCCCACGGCATCGTTAATAACGACGAGCCAAGTATTGTGTTCCATATTGAAAATCTACGAATGCAAATATTCGTAAATTTATATCGCCATAATATTGTTTACAGATATGACAAAATATACAACGTCCATTGAGTTTTTCAGGTAGTTGATAATTTCAGTCGAAAAAGCATATATTTAATATCGATGTTAGAGAAGGAGAGAAGAGTCGGTGAGCCCCGAATGTAAAGCGGGCGGTACGCGCCCGGCGGAGCTGGCGCGGCAAGTCAATGGCTAAGGGCATTCACCTTCTCGGGGCTGGCTGTCTGTTGCCCGGGCAACAGACAGTGCGGTAACCCCTTCGGGCGTCGCGCCCTGTTTCAGACGCTCCGCACCGCGCGCAGCCGACGAGCTACGAGGGAGACGAACGGCGCGTGTTAACAGTTTCTCCGAAAACAAGCGCCGTCTCGGTCGAAAGGCAGAAGCGATGCGCGAACAGGGAGATTCCGGAAAGTCGAGCGACGCGACACGACGCTTGTCTCTCAGAACGAAAGTCAGTGATTAGTTCTTTTCGATGAAAGGTTCGTTCGAGGCAAAGCCTCGTTTCCAAGGAAGCTTTCATAAGCTCGCAGCAAGGTCAACGTTCATGCGAATGGTGAGTTCTGTTCCAAATGATGCGATGATCTGTAAATAACATAGCCGTCAAGAACGTTTGTGAGCGTCTAGGATGATCACTTATTTAGGTTATATCAGTCACATGTAGATTGTCGTGTGTATACATATATGTGAATCATCGTGTGATTGTGCTCACAACTCATCAGAATTCAGAAATTAAATATAATCAGATTTAAGTCATCAATTTGTTTATTGGCAAATAACCATCAATTCATTGCTATTTCTGATATCGTATTTTATGCAAGATATCGATTAATCTGGAAAGCTCTAGTCTCTGAGTTTAAGATTGACGAATGTACCTTTCATTTGAAAAAAAATGCCATTTTGTGACATATAATGAGATTATCAAACTTTGCGTTATTTTTCTATATCATATAAACTATCAATTATTCCATATAAGCGCGTAATATTATTTAATATTAAGTAATATTTCTGAAATATTAATAGATGGTTATATGTCCACCCTTAATAATAATTAGAAAATAATATTATTTAGTGTTGTTGTAATATTATATATTTTTTTAAATATTCAGCTCTAGATATATATAATGTGCATAATTGCAGTTTTTTTATTCCAAATCTATTGCAGTATCAATTGTTTTATTATATAAATAAAGTCGAAATAATTTCGTGTAAAAATACGTTTTGTACTATAAAAAATTATATATTTCCTATATTATCATTATTTTATTTCTTTAATATTCTAAGAACATTTTTATAATACAACAAGAATATTATGTGGACATATAACATCAATAGAACATTCTTATAATATTAAAAAGATATCATATAACATTCATAGAATATAATAAGAACATTATCTTAATATTTAATAATATTCGTATAATATATTAGGAATATTACACATCTTATAGGATATTATAGGATATATGAGCTAATTTTTGTTTCGTATAACTGAATTTCATCATGTACGCGACACGCAGCATTTATCTCAATAACTGCTTTTTGAAAGACGAGATTACTTGAAAACGATAACGTTTGAAATATAGCTTCGCCATGTAGTTTCACCACAATGTATTGTCGCTAGTGATGTAAAAAGAATCGATGATGCGCGCTGATGCAAGTTTGGAGTTCGCTACCATCAGCCATCTAGGGGAGATAAATGAACGCGTCATGCCATGAAAAAAATTTACGAAGATACTGCTGTCGGAACGTGAACAGAAAATATGATAAATAACGCGAGATAAACATTATAGTTTACCATTGATAAACTTTCACATTAATTTCTATTTCTACTTGCATTTATCTTCCTTTTTGGTACTCTATGAGCACGTGATGTTATTTAATATTAAATAATATTCTGAGCATATTCTTAGAATATTAGACTAGATTAGAATATTCTAATAATATTCTAGTAATATTATTTAATATTAAGTGATATTTTTGGAATATTAATAGATGGTTGTATGTCCATTCCTAATAATTAAAAAAAAATTTAATGTTATTGTAATATTTTGTATCTTNATAACGTATATGTAATATATATAATTGCGATTTTTTATTTCAAATGTATTGCAATACCATGTTGCTTTATTATATAAAGTTGAAATAATTTTATATAAAAATACATTTTATTATATTAAAAAAATGATTAAAATAAAAAAAAAATATATATAATTTTTATATTCTTTTTATTCTATTCTATTTTTATTTTTATTCTAAGGGCATTTTTATAATATGCTAAAAATATTATATGAAATGGACATATAATATCAATAAGGCACTCTTAGAATATTATAAGAATATTATTTTAATATTTAACAATATTCATATAATATTCTCGGAATATTACGCACTTATAAAGTATATATTCTCGAATATAGTTGATATGACGAAGTAATAGTCTCTAAATTCTCTCTCTCTCTTTCTCTCTCTCTCTCTCTCTCTCTCTCTCTCTCTCTCTCTCTCTCAACATTAGTTATAGGCCATTTCAAAGAGTATATGGCCCCAATATCACTCAATGTTAGTAAGGTGTGCGTACAGAAAATATGCTCTGCTAAAGTAGAACGACTTCGTCAAAAATAGGTGTTTCTACAATTAATAAAGTCGAACACATGCGCACTCCCGGGCTACCGAATAAAGATTCTCTAAATTCTGAAACACTTGCTCCAGAAGTTGTCGATAGTTTGTATCAAGTTTTTTTGAGTTTAGATGCGGTTTATTTATTTATCTATTTATTTTTTGAATTGGCTACACCAGTTCAAGAAATCTACGCACATTGAAGTGTAAGAATCTCGTACGTACGCTTCAATGTATATGTATATTTCTTGAACTGCAACCAATTCAGCTAAAAAAAACAGACCAATAATATTGTCGCGAAAGTTGTTACTATATATATAACATATCGATTGGTAATAGAAGAATTAATAAGTCACAGTCTGCTGTTGTGACTTTAGGTAATTTTGTTGCCGGTAGTGCTTAAAAAAATCAACGTGATGTTTTTATATATATAATTAATTATATTTATTATTCAGAGCAAAACTCAATAATTTTATTCTCAAATTTATAGTAAAAAAATCTATGTGAGTTAATGGAATCGAAAATTCTTTTCACATTTTGGCTACGAGGTAACTCATTTCGTAGTCAATAAGTCTGCTCTTTGTCGCTTAACTAGTGCACACTTTTGGAATTTTAAAAGAAACAAATATATAATTGTGATTTCGTATGAAAAAAAAATAGAAATAGAACTAGTATAAGCTAGTATAATCAGTTCAGCTATAAGGAACGGACCAAATGTGTCGAATGAGATATTCTTTAGATATATATATAATTAATTATTATACAAGATGTTTCTTAAATACTGTTCGTTACAGAATATATCTAGACTGAATGTTAAGGAATGAGGATCGAATTACACGTAGAACATTTATAGTCGCTGTTTTGTAAGAAATTAATGACTATAGGCCCGTATTCATAGTCGGATCTTATTTTTAAAACCGTCTTAAATTTGTCTTCAGATGTTTTGTGATGCATTTCATTGACTTCGAGACATTTGAAGATAAACTTAGGATGGTTTTAAATACAAGACCTGACTGTGAATACCGGCCATAGGAACATGGTTTAAATAGTCTATCTCAAACTTGTACGCCAATGGATGGAATCTCATTTTTTTGCAATTTTTATTATATATTTCATTGATTATGTACAAAAAAGTATTTTTGATAGATTTCGATAAAATCATTAGAAGATATTTGCGAGATATTAAGAAAAAATCTTATGGAATTTTTAACGTTTTATATTTTCGAAAAGATTATATGGTCATATGAACTTTTATATACAGGATGTCCAAAACTTTTTAATCAATTGCTCATATGAAGGTGGAACAAATTAAACTCAGCAAAAAAGTCCATTTGCAAATAATATGAACATTTTTTAAATTATTTTTTAAAGAAGCCTCTATACATGACTATTTTCAATCATTAATAACTCGAAATTTTGCATAGTTGTTTGCGAATTGTAGAGGACTTTTCTATTCACTTTAACCCGTTCTTTACACGAGTGATTGGCTGAAAAGTTTCGGACACGTGTACGCACGCATTTACATATATACATAAAAAATATAGAGTTTGGAGAAGGACATAAGTTGATGACTTTTGTACTTCGTTGTATAGTGAACAATTTAAACTCATTTAAAGGTCAATTTTATTTTTTTTAAATAGAATCACATAGTTTTCTTAAAAAAAATCGGTTTTTCTGTTCATTCTCCATATAAAAATACTAGAGTAAAATTATCGAAAAGTAAAAACTTTTCGAGATGTTTTATTTTTTATTCTGATATTTTTCGGCATATGAAATATTTCATAAAGTATTCACTTTTCGATAATATCACCTTAACATTATTGTATGTAGAATGACAAGTGGAATCGATTGCCATAATATAGAGAAATGACAAAAAAAATTAATTGCATTTTATAAATGTATTTCTCTCATATTATTATGTAGAAAAGTGTTAAGATGATGTTATCGAAAAGTGAAGTTTTTTGAGATATTTCATATCTTCCATTGAAAATATCGGATTTAAAATTAAAATATCTCGCAAATTACTCATTTTTCGATTATTGTATTCTGGTACTTTTATGCGCAGAATAAGTAAAGGAATCGAATTGTGATAAAAAAAATTATACGATTCTATTCAAAGAAATAAAGTTGACGTTGAAATGTTCTTGAATTATTGACCATACAAAAAAGATCACTACTTTACCCTCTTAAAACCTACAACTTTTGTCTGAAATATTTTTCTTTAAAATGCGTTGTTCAAGAGATATCTGAAATTGTTATTTAAAATGGGACATTCGATACATATATATAATTTTTCTTTGGTATTCTATATAACAATCGGGATGCTAGGTCATATAATTAACGAAAATATTTAATATTTCATCGTCAATATATTTAATATACGTAAATATATTTAATCGGAATCTCGAGATGCCGAACCTGGTCGCGTTATTTTCCTGTTTTTTTTTTTTCAACAAATTTACGCGGAGAGAGGCGAGCGATAAATCAATTTATAATCATTCTTAATTTTCTGTTTATCCATATTCGAGGACACTACTTACTTTGGATAAAAATGTATCAATGATTACGTTAGGCCAATCATCAGTGCGCTGAGATCTTTGTATAAATAGTGACGTTATCTCAAAAATATATCCGATACCACATCGGCCTTTGATATCTCAAAGTTACTTACATAGTGACCAACGAGTTCTGTTTAGGTTTAAGGTCTTTGTGTGAAACTGCTACGATATCGGGTTGAAACTGCAGCGATCCAGTTTTGAAATCTCTCTCGAGCGCGTAATTATTCACATCGGATTTTTCACTCACCAATATCTGAAAACGAGAATGCGATGCGCGAATACTGTTATCGACAATCTAGATGAAAATTATTTTTACCTCATCACTTTTATATTGTCTTTTTACCAGATCGACGTTGTAATTCTTCTCCTGACCGAGATCCGCCGTTACGGAAACGAACAATTCATTATCCAGCGTCAGAGATGATGGCCTTTTCGGCATCAGGGTTGTACTAGCGGCGTCGGCGCTCCCATATCTAACGAAACAATAAAAGATAATAATATTAACGACAGACTTATATATTCATTTGGCAAAATGGCTTGAACATCTTTTCTTTCACGTACTTCCAAACGTACTCAATATCCAACAGAAGAATTTTTGCTTTTGAGTGATTTTCAAGTAGATTTTCTTATTGGATATTCAGATATTCAGATGCGTTTCAAAAAAGAAAGAAATGTTCGTACCGCAAACAAGCATATACAAATAATACATATCCAGTCGTGAAAGTTTATATGTACCTATGCAAATATACATAAGGTATACATATATATTCTTGCGACTGTGATGTAAATGTAATTGTTCCGTCTGAAGAATACTGTACTTGAAATATCGGTCGGCCGGATTTAAGTCATTTGTTTCGGAATCACCGAACAATACCATCGGCTCTAAGTTGGTGCGGGATTTCGAAGGAAGCAGCGATGTGCTCTCGGATTCGTTACCTCGTGGCGGAGTTTCACTGCTCCGGGAAATATGAGATTTATACATAATATGTCTCTGACAAGACCTACTGGGGTTTCTGTAATAAAAGCTTCATTTAAATCTGTTGACTTTACGTCAGTATGCAGTTTTATAAAATATAGAAAATGCAAAATATGACAAAATATAAAAGTACGTACTCACTTAATATACTCAATGGTTAAGCGACATGCATCTTATGCTTTATTGAAGTGTTATCACACTCGACAAGGTCTTCTTTCGTGTCATGTGTTATCATTTTTTTTAACGGAAGTATTAATCGTTCGTAAGAGATACAAGCAGAGTTAGTGTAATCCTTATAATTATTTATTTTATAATCTGATATTTGAATATTTTAATTGTATTCCTCTTATAATGCGTGTATATTTAAGCAAGTTATGTATTAAATATTCTTTGAATCTGAAGAAATATCTATTTACGCGAAGAAAATGAAAAATACGAGAAAAATTATTGCATGACAAGAGAGTGACGTCCGATATCTCATTGAGTCGCCGTTAAATTGACGCNCTCTTTTTTTTTTTTTTTTTTTTTATACAGTCAGTCGACCGATTTCTCCGTATGCCATCACTGCAGGATAAACGACCGACGATAACAACAGCTTTTGAGTAACTTGAAACGGACACTTTGTTTCAGTGGATTGGACAGTGCGTGTTTCTGCCCGCGTGGTCGGTTAGAAAACTGGCTTTTCGTGTAAGTCCGCCTCCGGTTTATAAACTCGCCAACTTTATATCAGTCATCCTTGACTCAACGCGCTCCCTCCACACGCATTTTTCATCGGATGTCGTATACGAATCGGCGACAACGCTAAAACTCGGATTGACGACGTCGATCGTGACAAAACAATTACGCACTCGTAACGCTTGGACGGATTCTTTTTTTTCTCTCCTTTCTCCGACGATGTTCCGTGATTGCGTGACTATAAAACGTACACGCTGAGATAATAGCTTCGGTGGCTGACGTAAGTGCGGTTCTCGCCAATTTGCGAGTCTCTTTCATCGTTTTGTGACAAAGTTGAATGCATTTAATCATCTTTATTCCCTTCCATCCTAAAGTTCAAGACACCAATATTTATTCATTTCTATTCTTGTTTGTTAAAAGGATAAGAGACAATCTATCCTTTAATTAATCCACGAGTCATCGACGCGATTCCGTCGAAATGTGACCTCCAAGTTTTTCTCAGGAGCAGTTACTTGATCTTTTATCCAGGATTAAGACACTTTCAATAGAAAATCATGAAATCGGAGACTTTTGTGTTCTGTATAGAAATGTTGAAATGTCCTGAATGCATTAAACAATGCGCAATTAAACAGGTACATGCAAACCTTTTTTGACCATTTTATCGTTTTTCTGTATATGGGATAGTAAGTGAGATATTGGTCTGCTCGATCCACTCCCTTCATGTATTTATTGTAGTCTAATATACTTTCAGGTTTTTTTATTGGGCAATTGGTTTTCCTGCATTTTTTTTAGTATCAATCAAAGTGACATTATGTATTGTAGAGACCATCCGTATCATTTTGGAAAAATGCAGATATGATAATATTTGTCTAAATCTATTGCGGGTCATCGTTTTGCGAAATATGGGAGTTTCTATCAACGGATTCGTTGACCAATAATCATCTATTTTTGCTTTTTTTACAATTTCCATAAGAATAGCAAGCCCAAACCATTTCCTAAATTCGGTTGCCGTAACGCTGACCAATTTGGCACTTTTTTTACTTATTTTCCTTCTGTGGCAATTTTGATCATAATACTTGTTTGTTTCGCTGCTGATATGTTCGAATAAATCCTTCCCAATAAATAATTCGACTATGTCCTCGACGCTCTGTGTTTCTTCGGGAAATACGTTTGGGCCCGGAAACCCTTCAAATTCCTCATTGGTTCTCGGTAAATCGGCATCTGACCACGGTACACTATCGTCTTCTTCTGATTCATCCGAATCCCTTGGCAACCGTACCGTTCGCCGAATTCTTCTTGTAAGAACTTCACTGTCTGAAGATTCTGCTTCACTTTCATTTGTCGGATCTGCAATGTCTTCTTCCCAATCCGCAATGTCGATTGGAACGTCAAGTCGTCCGCGCATTCCTCGTAAATAACAGTGTCTTCTCCTTCGTCTGCCATGATAAATGGGTACAAGTACTCATAAAAAAAAACACTTGCTGACGTATGTAACTTATTCCACGTAAAGCTGTACAGCTTTGTGCTAAAAATACTGTACCGAGACGGTACGGAACAAAAGCAACAACAGAACCCCACAGATCATCAAGAGAATGCAAAGGATACTAAAGTGTTGTCGTCGGCCACTGGGCGATACCGTGCGCACGACACCATTGCAATGTTGCCGGCCGCCGAGCGATACTTTGCGCGCGACACCACTGTGGTGTCGCCGGCCGTCAGGCAATACTTTGCGAAGGTCATTACTGTAGTGTCGCCGGTCGTCGAGCGATACTTTGCGAAGGTCACCACTGTGGTGTCGCCGGACGGCATAGTGTTAATATTTATAGACCTTAAGAGTTTCTGTACAATTACATGCAGGATTTCTCTGAATTTTACAACTACTTTACGCGAAACACTACGTCTACTATTATACTACTATACGTCTCTTGATGTCGTTCAAATTCAGCGCTCGTACAATCTACAATTGTATCACATGTAATATAATCTACAATTGTATCACATGTGATCAATGACCACTGACGTCAAAGAAACCGACTGTCGCAACTATATGTAATTAAACTATGACTACGAATTAGAGATTGAAATTGAATTGAACTTTGCCAATCAATGTAAAGTTAATTGAAATCAAGTTTAGTGAAATTTAATGAACTTTGCCCTGACCGATTAAATTCAAATTCATTCAATTTAATCTCAATCTTTAATCCATAGTCTGAGAGAGGCTTTTTTACATGCAAAGGTTTAGGGGGGATTCACACTTTGACAGAAAAGTAAAAAAGCAGCAGTCAATCAGAACTTACGTTGGTAAATAAGCTAAGGTCTGTTTTTTTTCGAAACACTTTCTGCACTAGTGCACACCAGTGCAAAGAGTTTACACTAAAGCCTTCTTTTTATCGAGAATGTCGTCATCATGACGTCATCAACGTTGTTCGTTTTCGCAGTGCAACAGCATGTAGTGCAGGCAGTTCAGTGAACTGTTGCACTGAGTCAGGAGGTAGTGCGGTCGGTGCAGTGCATGAAAGTGTAGCTCGGAAGTGTATGTAAGCGTAACGGAAATTTATACGAAAAGTCTCAGGTAGATGATCAATTCACGAAATCATCTCACCCGTGATTTGATCAAATCTCCATTTTTATCATCTCCCTGCGACATATATAACCGTGAGTCATAGTGTGTGACGTCCAAATCAAATGCACCCTTAGTGTTTGTGTAAATTTCGTAAACCAGTGCAGCCAATTCAGCTAAAAAGAACAGACCACTTGTAAGATGGCGGTGGTATCCCGGTATCCGTGTCCTTACGTGTCATTGACAGGCAAAGTTCAGCCCGCTGGCAACAGTTATCGGGTGACCGTTGCGACAGCATATTCTCTTCTTAACCTATTTACTTGCCAGTTGAGACACGCAAGTTAGATATCGCGCTCTTTTTTTTTTATCGCAACGTTTTCTCTCGGTTGCAGAGCGAGTTTGCAGAAGCATGCCCATTACGGTGGCGAGTTTTACGGTGAATACTCGAGTATATGACGATCAAAAGCCGGGCACTTCGGGTCTGCGAAAAGCCGTAAAGGTTTTTCAGCAGGAACACTACACGGAAAACTTCGTCCAGGCGATATTGCACGCGCTGGGCGACCAGCTGCCCGGATGCACTCTCGTTGTCGGCGGCGATGGGCGGTTTTACGGGAGGGAAGCGGTGATGAAGATCATCCGGATCGCAGCGGCGAATGGAGTAAATATCCGATTTACAGAGCTAGATTTGTTAGAAAGTCTGTACTGTGCGATTAACATCGATATAAGTTACATACAAAAATATATTAGCGATTAAGAAAGAGCATCAAAGAAGGCAATGACTTCCATAAGCTTGAAATTTGATATCTGGAATCATATATTTATTTATATACAGCATATAGCGCATTCAAGGGTAGATTCCACTTAACGATCGCCAGCATCGTTTTTGTTTAACATCCAAGAGAAACAAGGATGGAATGATGATCCTTGAGTGGAATGCATCTCAAATTATGCCTGTATCATTAAAAAAAAGTGTGGCTTTCAAGCTTTTATTTATATTAAATGATTAATGGTACCGTGCTAATTTTATTTGAAAAATTAATCCAATTCAGTGTAATTTTCTTCATTATCATTCTTTTTATTGTAATTATATCACTATAAAAACGTTATATTTTTTTAGGTAGGAAAATTGATAGTTGGTCAGAATGGTATTCTCTCGACACCAGCTGTATCAACTATAATCCGAAAGTATAAAACACAAGGTGGGATTGTCTTAACAGCATCACACAATCCTGGTGGCCCTGACGCTGACTTTGGTATTAAATTTAATTGTGACAATGGTGGTCCCGCACCGGACATTGTGACAAATAAAATCTATGAAATTACTAAAACACTCAAACATTATAAAACTGTTTCCGACGTTGATATAGATATTGATACAATACAAACTGTATCAATTGATGTTGATGGTAAACCATTTATTGTCGATATAATTGATTCTGTAAATGATTATGTGGAACTTATGAAAGAGATTTTTGATTTTGCAAGTATTAAAAAATTACTGCAAGGTGGTATTGGTGATATGCCTACATTTCCAATTCTCATCAATTCAATGAACGGAGGTTAGACATTATATAATTTACATTTTGCTTCTATATAAAAGTTCCATAAATAGAATATTAGAAATTGAACTGTTTCTAATTTTCAGTTACAGGGCCGTACGTAAAACGAATATTCAGTGATGAATTAAACGTTGACAACACCAATTTAGTAAATATAAAACCGTTAGAAGACTTTGGTGGTATACATCCTGATCCAAATTTAACCTATGCTGTAGATTTAGTGTTGGCTATGAGGGATGGGCCGTTTGAATTTGGCGTGGCTTTTGATGGAGATGGGGATAGAAATATGGTAAGCAGTATCAATTGTAAAATCTGACGAAGCAAATTTAATTCGTATGAAATATTTTAACATTGATGCTTATATGCTCTTATAGATCTTAGGAAAGAAGGCATTTTTCGTTACTCCTTCTGATTCTTTAGCAGTGTTGGCTGCTAATTTAAAATTAATCCCCTACTTTCGAAAGACAGGTGTTAAAGGATTTGCTAGGTCTATGCCAACAGCTGCTGCTGTTGACAAAGTTGCCGCTAAGAACAATGTAGAGTTCTTCGAAGTTCCTACTGGATGGAAATACTTCGGTATGTAGGACAGGGTATCTACTACCTGGGAAAAGAATTACCGTCTGTAATTCTCAAGGCATTTTTGTTTATGCCTGGAAAAGTCAGGGAATTTTGAATGGATTTAATAGGTTTTTATGGAATTTTAAATAGACATTTGTCTGCAAGCCATGTTATTGCGTTATGCATAGACAGATATTATGTGGTTGACTGAATTTTACTTAATAACGTTTTCTTCATTAAAATTGTAGCAAAAGATGGTTCAGAATTTTTCGGCTTAATTTTTAAATAAGTTTAATTTTAATTAATTAAGAATAGCGAATATAAATCGTAGGCACGAACTTATTAACATTCTGTGTATGTTTTTATTTAAATATTAGCATTTCTTTATAGTAAATTCTCTTCTATATTTACATATATAATTTAAATATTTAATATTATTACGCGCGAGGGTGGCAGCGCACTGTTATACCAGTTTCCGAGTTCGCTTCTCAGTAGAACCAAAATGTTTTCATATGTTCGTGTCTTCTCTTCGATGGACTGGCAATCCATCGAGAGTATTTCTGCCAAGAAACTTCACTTAAATTGCTGTTCGGAATCGGCGTTAAAATTGTAGGTCCCATATATTTGTGTATAATCTACGTGTGCACCACAATAATATGCGTGTGAGGATCAGATAATGTCAAAAAGACTTCACAAGACCGATATTATTATAATATTATTACCCTGATATTTAGAGGACACTGATTTTACGACTAATTCAATACTCAATATTGAAGACAACGATTTTATGTTAGGCACAATTATGTTTAATTAAGACAGATATTTTCTTATTTTGATAGTTTTAAAAAAGTTAAGTTTTATAAAAGTTGCATTTTGTATTAGTTATGCATTACATAATGTCTTGTTTGTAACTTTTGAAAAAAAATTGAAAATTTTATGCAATATTAAATATTTATTTTGTAGAGCTCTTACAGTTTCTTTCCAAAATTTTCAAATTTAATCATTGAAACTCGAGCGATTCTTTATTTTGCTTTACGATTTATAACTTTTATGAATAGAAAGTATAAGTTAAATATTAAAGACACAATAACTATATATATTCATTTACAAGATACATTAAAAAATACTTTCATTTTACATCGAATTTTTAACATATTGCCTGAAAATTAGGGAATTCTCAAGGAATTTTTCTTTTTGGGTTTGAGTAGACACCCTGTAGGATCTTGTTTTGCAGTACTGAAAATTTATTTTCAATTTGTATTTTCTTAATGTGAATTTTAGGTAACTTAATGGATGCTGGAAATCTGTCGTTATGTGGAGAAGAAAGTTTCGGTACGGGTTCCGATCACATTCGTGAAAAGGATGGTATATGGGCGTGTTTGGCATGGCTCAATGTGATCGCAGAACTTGGAAAGTCCGTGAAGAATGTTTTATTGGACCATTGGAAACTTTATGGAAGGAACTTCTTTACTAGGTATATATCGATGGTCAACAATATATCCATATTATGTAATATTTTTTTTTTATTCAATAATTTTCTTAAACGATGTATCATTGTACATCGCAATAAGTGGCTAAGTGTGCTGCGAATTAAAATGAAAGGTAACCTATCTATACAGAGATTTAATACATTCGTAATTAATTAGTTAGTTGAAGTTCTTAGAGTAATAGTTTTATTATTAATACACAGAACAAGCAACGTGACCGAGGAATGTTTGTAACGCATATATTTTTAATTTTGACACTAGAAGTGCGTCAAAAAATTTGTAAACGTTTCACAGTGCGCCGCGAATGAAAGAAATTTCTAAATTAGTGTGTATTAATTCTTCCTCTTTTTTTTCTTCTGAATTTTTGAATAGACTTTTAAATAGACTTTATTGAATTCAGGTACGATTATGAAAATTGTGACTCTGGGAGCGCAGAAAAAATGATGCAGGGCATCGAAACTCTCATTCAAAATCCAGAATTTATTGGTAAAAAACTGCGATACGAGAATAAAGAATACATTGTTGAGAAAGCGGACAATTATTCCTACATAGATCCTGTTGATGGTAGCAAAGCTATAAAACAGGTATGTTTTGTTAATATATATATATATATATATTGCTATTAGAGAATTTTATATCCTTAAACTAGTTACATCGTTTTGTACGATAGGGTTTACGGATATTGTTTGAAGATGGTTCTCGTATAATATTCCGTCTATCCGGAACGGGAAGTTCTGGCGCTACTATACGTTTATACATCGATAGTTACGAGGATGATCCATCTACTTTCGAGAAAGAAGCACACCTAGTCTTAAAGCCTCTTATTAATATTGCATTAGAATTAAGTGAACTTCGTCAACACATTGGTCGTGATTTCCCGACTGTGATTACCTAAAATTTTATTTTTATTCTCTATTATTGCAAAATTATTATATTTTATTCGAAGGCTATTTACTCGGAGAAATTAAAAAAAAACGGGGAATTTATCAATGCAAATTTATTTAAGTTATAGAGATCGTCTGATTTGATTACTGTCAAATTCGCAAAGCAATAGCATAGTAATTGTTACTGGCGCCAATGAACGAATTTTCCATTTTTATAAAATGTTACCAGTTTACGATTCCATCCACATGAGATATATACATACCGTAAATATTGAATGAACACTATTCGATATGCATATAAGAAGTAACGAAAAAAAAAGACGTTTTAAGGTCTATATACTAGATATTTGTTAAATGTTATTGCTGTAATCGTTACCTTTCGATTCATATCGATTACAAGGAGACGAACTTATTTCAATTTCTGCTATTACTTTCAACCTCGAAACAACATTAGCATTGTTTTCGAACTATTAAGAAGTGACTATCTTCTTGNTATATATATATATATATATATATATATATATATATATATATATATATATATATATATATATATATATATATATATATATATATATATATATATATATATATATATATATATATATATATATATATATATATATATATATATATATATATATATATATATATATATATATATATATATATATATATATATATTTATAGAGAGAGAGAGAGAGAGAGAGAGAGAGAGAGAAACACGTGCATTCCCCGCGGTGTGTGAAAATATAATTTATAAAAGTCACGATTGAATGGACAGGATATATACATTGTCAATCTTCCAAAACATTATGTCTATCCATGATTCATCCAATATTCTTTCTATAGTTTTCATTCAATTTCATCCATAATTCCATAATGAAAACATTTTCACACTTTATTTTGGATGCCTTAAGAAAGAAAAAGTAAATGATGTCATTAAGTTGGAAATACGATCGGCTTGATAACGCAGAATTATTTTGTTACCAATTGTACAACTATTAAAACTCATAAGTATGTATACAAAAGAAGGTTTGGAGGCTGGACTTCTTCTCCCGATAGCATAATATTGGAGGATTAACAGAAACATAAATTTAATACTGTCTTGAAGGGTCGGTCTTTTCAACATTGCTTAATTATCCTTATCGCTCTGTTTACATAATAACAGCGTGCGCTACGAATTAAACAGATATATAAGATATCTATCTATCCGTTAAATCGATGATCACTTGATGCAAAGATGGAATGATTGGCCCTGTAAGTTGAATGTAGCATAATGAGTAATAATAAGCGTCTTTAATTTATCATGTTTTACACGCGCGCGTGCGCGTGAAGTAAATAATTTATTCATGAGTTTAGTAATCTCAAATCTATTTGTACAATGCTATAAATGGATATGTGGTAATGCTATTTCGGAATTATAGTACAGTTAAGTATGGTACAGTCTTTTTAATGTCAAATTTTTTTGTCGAAATTTATATTCGAATCTAAAATTGTATAGATTTTTTTTATGTTGATAAATTATATTCAGTAAAATATTCAGTATAAAGAATATCCAGTAAAATTGGAAACGGGGAAGATGTAAGTCCTTTTTTACAATCGATATTGTACAGTAGAATGTGTAAAATTGCATGTATAAAAAAATTATATCAACTCTATTGCAACACAGATGTGTAATACAGAGAGTAACGCTGAAATTTGTGTAGATAGTAGTGTATACAACTATAGAAATTTTCCTTTTGTCAAAGCAATTTCCATTCATTTTCATATCTTTCTGAAATTTTATTAATATTCTTGTATATTTTGATGAATTTTATATCTCCCAACTTTCTTTTTTGTTATATATATATATATATATATAGTTGCATTTGAATGCCAATAATTTTCTCAAATTCTTGCTACATCTGTTGTATAACATTAATGATTATAGCTTAGTTCTGTATTGAATATTGAAAGATATTGAAAGAAGCATGGATGCTTAAATTGGTGAATTCTCCGAAACCTGAGGAGAAGCCAAAAGAATTTGTACTTGTCTCAATTTTTTAGAATTTGATCCAAATATAGCGATGTAGATTGCAAACTCGTATTTAGCACGATACTCAGTGTCTTATATAGCTCGTAAATAATTAATTCTACAAAATGATACAAATGTTATGAGAAGATTTATATTTGCATCTTATTAAATGGTATTGTTTTCTTTAAAATTATATAAACCAACATAATTTACTGAGTATCTCGCTAAAAATAATCGATAGAGTAGAATACGTTAATGAAATTTGTATAAAAGAAACCAGTAGGGAGATCAGAGATTAAGATGTATGAATTTCTTCCGAGGATGGAACGGAATAAGCCCGGTTGAATGCGAAATTTTATATGTAACAATATCTCCATATAAGAAGAAATGAACAATAGATAGTAATAATACGCGAAATGTTCGATAGGTACGAGAGGCACATTATTGTACCAGACAAATTAGTAGATATCTCGGCTATAATTAATAACGACGACGCAGATGTATTTATATGCTATTTGTTTTCTTCGTTACTTTCACTTGGTATTTTCTTCTTTCTCTTTTCTTTTGTATGATATTTCGCTACGGACCTTCTTGTATATCTGAAGTATCACACAGATGCGTTTATTAAAAAAAATTACCTCTGTAAAGACGCGTGATCACGTTCATATTTCATTTGAAGAATCGGTGAGAGATTGCTAGGTGGCGATACGCTGCGACACAGAAAATACGGACGAAGTAATATAGTCTTTTTTTTTCTTCTTTTTTTTTTGTTTCACGAATAAAATAAACGCAGCGTGTTACGGAGATTCCGCAAGGCAATTATGTAAATAGTTGATGATGGTGAAGGAGGAGGCGAAGGAGGAGGAAGAGGGGGAGATACTTAGGGACCTGAGCCGACATACGCTCCCGTTCGATCTGTCGATTATGCTCTAGAGAAGTGTAGGAAGAAACGAGAATTGTATATATTCTCGAAGTATATACCCTCTAGGACATAATGAAGATCATTCGACGTGGCAGCGGTGTTACAGAGACCAGCATTGACTGCCGACTTACTATAAAGATATTAACCATGTAACATTTGTATCATAATCATAATAAATACTAATTATCATTATAAGTATGCGAATGCGGCGTGGCTGCTTGGAGTGCACGTGGCCCGAAAGATCTGTTATATATTGCGTCTTCTTATGTGATTTCCGACATTGAAATAAATTTCTTAATTTTTATTCAAAATTATTCGTAACGTTTCGTGGCGAACATATTTCAAATATTCTGATTTCGACGATTTATCGAGATGTCTTTAGTGTCAGCGTGCCATAAAGAAATATATTACAGTTAGTACGTACTCGCTTGTTAGATTCGGTGCTACAAATGCGACAAATTTTGTTCTCCATCTTTATGTCATGAATCAATGTTTACGAAATCAAATTTATGCTAAATGCAAAACGGGCGTACGGTTTTTCGTTAATTTTACAGTCATCGGACGTCTATGTTTAAGCGACTCGTACAATCTGAAAGTGGCGACAACCAATTTAACTTTTAATAAACTTTACTTCAGTACATAATCAGGTCTGCGTTGTGCTTTACCTTTTCAGCATATGTGCGTTCATAGCTCATAAAAATCGCAACGAGATGTTACAAAATAAAAATAATTCGTCGGACTGGACTGAGCTTCGACTCGTCCTGCAAATTTGATTTACGATCAATTTGCGGTCTCAATGTACAGTATCGCACGAATCCATTTTCAGTATATATTGAGTGACCTGCAAAATGCTTCGCAGAGACAAGTTGCGAATGATGAAAACAAAAACGATATAATTGACACAGGAAAATGAAAATACGCAATCGGGCTAAGTTTTTATCCTATTCATTTTTTACTTTTTTTTTTTAAGACACGAATAAAGGCAAGGATGCGTTCTTCAATAATTCATAGATGAAATCTCGGCAACTCTTATTGAAACATATTGACAATTTTCCCAGCGAGGAAGAAATTGGGTGGAAGTTGACGAAGGAAATATGTTTACAAACATGATATTGATGATGTATGAAACGCAGTAATCGAACTATACTACGTATAAGCGAATATATGGCCTCATAAATCTGAGAAATCATAACGGAGGTTGTCGATTTTCGAAACATGCCAAAAATTCTTTGAAAATTTAAAGTTACTTAATTCTTTCAAATTTCGCGATTTCAGAATTTGGACAGGTGAAAAGAAATACATGATATATAGAAAAGAAATGCGAAAATTCAAGTCAGGATCACTTCAAAAGTACTTCTGTTAATCTTGAAGTGAATCTTGAAGTGACAAAAATCGATTTCAAATATCATCAAAAAAATATATTTATAGGTTGTCCTAATATAAGAATACTTAAATATGTTTTTTGTTTTTAATGATATAAGAAATGTTTAGAGCACAATTTGAATGGTTTTGAAAGAGAAATACCATAGAAGGAAAATTTTTGACGGTCATTTTCTTCGATTTTTAACATTTCTCACATTATTAAAAACGAAGGAGATATTTAAGTATTCTACTTATGCTGGAACACCCTGTATAATTTCGCTATTCAAATGACAAAACTCGTGTCAGTCAATGAAATCACATTTTGTCTTTAAAGTGCTAATGAAAAGACAAGACTTCTGAAGACAGGATAATTTCAAAATTAAGATTCTAAACCTTGCATAGGAACCTCAGCTAATTTTCCTAGGGTCTATTTGAATACAAAATATCAATTTAGCAAGGTGAAAGATTTAAGTATTGGGTTGGCAAATAAGTTCGTTCGGTTTTTTAATCGGAGTAGGTTTACTCGTTCTGCTATCTCTTTTCCACAGCGCTATCGCACAACGCGTTTGCGCAGCTGAAAAGCGACGTTCTACCTAACCTATTTGTAAACATACGCCGGTTAATACCAGAGTATTGTGCGTACTGCACGGTTGCAAATATGGGAGAAAAGAACGTCCATTTTCGCTATATTTTACTTTTTTACTTCAAAAAAGGCAAACGAGCAGAAGCAGAAGAAGATTTGTAATGTGTATGGGGACGATGCTTTAACAGAACGTGTGTGTCAAAAATGGTTTGCCAAATTCCGTTCTGGAGATTTTGATGTTAGTGACGCGTCCCGTTCTGGTCGTCCAGCAGAGATTGATTCAGCTGTAATAAAGAATA